TTTTTTTCGTTATTCACATTCGCTTTTTCGAATTTGGTACAAGAGAACTCACTCAGTTTTCTGCAGAGTTTCTTCATCTTGCAAAAGCTTTTCCAGGGCTTTTGGATGCAATGTTCTCACCGGAAGCAATGTACTAGTTTCCGCATCGTCGGTATCAGTTGGTTTACTTCTGCTTTCCATCAGTCCTGAATATGTCGTTTCTGTCCCAATATTCTGATCCATCCTGGAAACAAAAAAGACGCCGAATTCATTCTCAGATTCAAAAAAAATATATATATCTACGTCAAGAAACTAACAAATGACAAATGGTCGAATCGTCCTTCCTCATCTTGAAAAACCCTCCGGTTGTAGACGAAGTAGTCATGGGGTGTTCGGATTCAAACAGTCGGCGAACTTCGCGATCATTCGGTTTGTCTTGAGAAATATTCAAGTCAGATTCATCGAATGGGTTGCAAGTTTCTTTCCCATTATCAGAAGATTTCAAGCTTGACAAGGACGTAATGGGGACATCAACAAGTTCTTCACATTCACCACCCGTTGAACAAGTCCCCGAGATCCTCTGAGTGACAAAAGCATTCTTCTGAGGAGAACATTTCAGCGGCGATTCAAGAGTTTCCCGGGGTTTAATCGGAGAAACGATTGAAACTTTCTTGACAACATTCTTCGCTGCATTCTGATTTAATGGCATGTCACACGGTCCTTCGTTGGAATCAACCGAAGTGTCGGAGACCGGGTTCATTAGTGAGTTGTTAGCCGTTGGAATGTCGGTGTCTGTCGACAGATTGCTGTCACGCGATTCAAGTGACGACCCGCTGTCAATGTTCATCAATTTGGCGATCATGTTCAAATCGGTTCCCTGCTGGGGCTCTTTGATTCGTGTGGGATGAGACTGCTGTTTGGTGTTACAAGTAATGGCGAGTCCTTGGGGTATGATTTGCACTGGTTGAGGCGCGATTCCGCGATTTTTGTTGGTGTCAGGGTGCCCTGGGACATCCATTTGGCAAACATTGTCTGTCTTTGTCTTTAGGATGAGAGAATTGAGTAGAATTACCCCACTGAAGCAAATGTTATCAAATGTTAAGGGAACAAGACTCAATTTTACATCCTCTGAAACTTGAAGAAAATTGCCACATGAAGAAGCTGCAAGAAGTTTGCTACACAAAGCAGGCAACATTTTTCAGAATTTATCATCAATTTGTCATCAAATACTTCCCTTATTGCTAGCAGATGATTGCTAGCAGATGTTAGTCGTCACGTGTTTCAACTTTAAAATTCCCATTTTATTTATTTTATTCATCTTAAGTTTGGTTTTTACCTCATTTTCATTTTTCTTTGTGGCCAGTGCACCACACATATCAAATTTAATAAAAAATTGTGCAAATGAATCAATGACTTTGATTAATCAAGAATTTAAGATATTGACCATCGTTGTTCAAACTTTCATTTATGAAAAATTCAAGTAACCTTTTTTGGCTTGTCGACGGGTTTAGAAGTGGCCTCTTCATCATCCGCAACATTTTCCTCGTTGCCCAAAGAAAACTCTGCAGTTTGAACTTCTTGAGAAGCATTTTCTAAAGCCCTGGGACTTGAGGATTTTTCAATAGTCACGATGGGGTTTGATCCCGAAGACGTTGTTCTTCTTTGAGGCGATTTGGTTTGACAAAAAGTAGAGGATTTTTGTGGAGATTGAACAGCTGAAGTCCCTTGAGTTCTTGACCGATGGGCTTCGACCTTTGGAGACTCCAATTTGCAGTCATCTAGATTGCAGACTTTGGTCTTTGGTGAAGTTGATTTTGGAGACAGGTAACAATCAGTGTCTCTTGCAGAATATCTTCCCATTGGCGAATCTCCGGAAATTACCTGGGCAGTAATTTGAAAATTAAAATAACAATTTCTTAGATAACTTGAAATTGTAATTCTGAACTTTAAAGCACTGAGACAGGTGAAAAATCCTTGAAATATGGGTTCAAAACGTCCTTACACGAATAATATTTATTTGATTTGCAATTTACGACATTATCAGCAAAATAAATTATACGCTAAGTTTGGCCCCATCAATAATAGGAAGGATCATCTTAATTAAAATCAATGAACGTTATGATGAGTTCAATGTCACAAAAGGAAAGTTTTCGGCAATAGAAAGTTTCCGGTTACTTTCTGAAATCAACCACTAGCCTCATCAATGTTTCTGGAATTTTTTCAATTTCATCATGCTTTCAACGTTTGAGTGTTGAGGTCAAAAGATGTTATATGTGATTAAATATGTGCTTATCGGCAAAAAATACCGCGAAGTTTGGCATCGAATAGATTATTTTCTCAATCAAAACCAGCAGTTAGGAAAATGCCTATTTTATTCGTGTTAAAAAATCAGGGTTGTACCTCCCGTAAATTTAGGCCAAAATTGCGGGAACGGATTTAAAAAAATCGTATTTCAAAAAAGTTTTGTTCAAAATATTGTGCTGGTCAAAAGAAATCACGTATAGTACTGAATTCCCATAAAAAAAATCTCCGATATCGTCAACGACGACATAAATGTCAAAGAAACTGATTCAAGACGAGCCCAATATGCATGTAATTACCTTCGTAAATTGCTGCATCTCGTAAATACGACAGCTGTTTATGCTTTCCAATATATTTGACAAAATCCAATATAAAGTTTCGACTCACTTCCTGAATGATTTCCTCATACACAAGTCCTTGTTCAACTGTTTCGAAATGATCATCATCATATTTCAATCGACGACTAGAACGCCTTTCAGGCTCAGTTCTTTCCAAACAGTCAACAAATTCCTCGTCAGTCGACGACACACGTGCATTGTTCCTCACAGAAGATTCCGTGTCTTCTCGGAATTTCTGCTTGACCTGAGTCTGGGTCGTGACAGCCGCTGCTGGTGCGACGCATGGGTCACTTTCCCACAAATGCGTCGCGTCCGCGAGTTCCTTGAGCAGCAAGAAAAAGAGGTCATTGTCGGATGAGCACAGCAGGGATTGATGAGTGCGGATCCACGTGGCTTGAATGATGTAAATGGGGAGCAGGTCATCGCATTCGACCCCGTTGCCGGTCAGGATGAGTTGGAGGTCTTGAGCCAGTTGCTGCGCGTTTTCCACACTGGCAAACACACTTGCGCCAGTTGTGGGATCTCTCAGGGTCACACTTTAGAAAAAAAATAAAGAGAAAGAGAGAGAGAGAGATGGAATACAAAAATACAGCCAAATTCTTTATGCAGAGATTAGTGTGCTATCTTGAATGGGCGTTGAATAAAAACACAATCCTTCAATTATTTCCAAGAAGATCTACTTTAGTGATTTTCAGCCTTAAATGAAGCAACGGTTTATACTTAAAAGATTCTAAAATTTCTTGCATTATTTTTAGAAGTTCAGGAAAGCACTTCATGGAGTCATTTATAAATTATAACTCAGTTTATTTGTACAAAGGCTTTCCAAAAAAAATACAATGCGCAAAATAGCAATGGCGTTAAGGCACAGTAAGGACAAGTAGTTCTCAGTCTCCTGAGACAGAGTTTTAGGCTTGACTATATCAAGGTCAAGCAAGACACAGCACCTATGGGGATTGGTGTCAACATAGTGGTTGCAACATACAAGGATATAAAGGAAGACATTTATTTATTTTACTCTGTTGCTTGCTCAAATGACCCATTCCAGAAAACAAAGAGTGAGTGACACTAAGTGCTCATCATGGTAGTCATAACCATACAACTACATGTGAAGGACAAGATCTGCTGTCCTGCCACAAGAAACAGCTGTAAGATGAGGAGAATTATATCTCAAACAGAAAACAACTCTCACTTGAAATCTTTAAAAATCGAATTTTGAACAGTTTTTGACAAGTTTCTTGATAATCAGAAATGAACCTCAACGTTTTTTGAAAGTGACTGACCCATCCTGAAGGCCTTGCACAAATAGCCATGATATAAATGGTTATTCATTTTAATTTAATGACAGAAAAATTACTTATACAGTACATACAAGCTAAAAAATTCACCAATTTCAGCAAATTCTCAAAAACAACGCAGAAATTTCAAAATATACTGCTGTACAAATTCCACAAAGGATCAATTGTGTTAAATATTATTTTTTTTAATATTACTTTAAAATGAATATTATAATAAAAGAACTCATTAATTTTTCCTGTAACATCACTTGTGTACTAATATTTTTAACAAGAGCCAGCAAAATGAGAAAAAATAATCAAGAACCAAGTTTATTCAACAATAAGTTCCACCACCTGATTCGTCGTCGTGGATCATTTTCGCAAGACATTTCACTGTTCATGTTTTTCATCGAAGGTACTTTTAATTTATATTTGGAAAATCCTAGCCAATATATATAAACATTAAAGCTCTCTTTCAAGTCATCCAGAATCCTGTTACTTCCCGGATCATGGAAAAAATAGAGATCTGTCGAATGATCGCAGATTATCTACATTTTTTATTTGTTTTAAAATCGTCTAAAATAGAGGCTTCCATCGATTTCTCTTGGTTATGCTACAGCAGGAATCCTGAGAAACCTGACGTGATTTTAAATTTCAATACTACACACGTGATTTTTCGAAGGCAGTTTCGAAATTTGAGTTCAAATAATCGATTTGAAAATTCCTGAAGATCCTAAAATATTTTCAAGTATATAACTTTATCCGATCACAGTATAAAAAGATCTTTTGAAAGATTCACGAACTTTTGGCTGCTTTCCAAGTGCACCTGTTGGAAACTGTCTTCGGGCAAAGGCAACAGGTTTCCTAGACCCTACCACTACTAGTAACAAACGAATAGCTGCTCTTGCGCAAAAACGTCGGTTAACCGCTTAAGGAAGAGCAAGTTACGTGTTTAAGGCCTTCGAGCTAAAGGAGGTGCAAGTCTGTGGTTCTTCGTTGGTTTTTCCGAATGAAGTTCTCCAGGTGCGATTCTCAAGACCTTCAATTAGTAATTTTACGCGTCGTAGCATGCAAATAAATATGGTATGATCAAAATTATGTGTAAAAGTTTTCATGCCTGGAAATACAGTATAGATAGAAGAATATTGCTACAACAAAGCCATTTACCCGTGATTAGGATGTTAGCTTACGTCAAATTGTCGACAGTCCATGCGTTATTGTCGGTATGTTGTCACACAGAAAATTCTAGATACTGTAACTCAATCCATTAAATCACAACGAATTTTGCAGGTCTTCGTTGGTTCATTGTAACAAAAATGGGTTTCACTTGTAAACTGCTTCTCATTTCAAACACAGAAGAAGAAGTTCAAGGATATGTAGTCCAGCTGCGACATTGACATGAAATCGTAACTTCCATAAATTATCATCGCAGTTGGAATTTATGCACACATCATTTGCGTCTTTCAAGAGGATGAGATTTTCATAACAGTTAATGCTGATTCAAGTGCTTTTAAATAAATATACATTTAATTCATCAGGTGGGTAATATCGAATTTGAAGATTTATCTGCGAAGGCTTTTCTTTCTATTTTAGGCTTACTTCAGTGGTTTTTTTTTTACCTCAATAACTCCGTCCATTTTAAATTTTCCGCAGCGTTCTCGGTTGTGAGAAACACCGTAATGATCAGCAGGTGCTCTGCAAGTTTTGAGAGCTTCTTCAGCGACCGATTGAAAAACTGAATATAGCTTCACAACATCCCCACAAGGTAACACCTTGCCTAAAAATAATGAATAAAATATAATTATTCGGAAAACGCAGGATAAATAAAATATTTCAGCTTAAAAGCCGAAGTTTAATTTTTTGGACAATTAATGACGCATGAAATTGCCGACTTTTCTTGAAGTGATGACACGAAATTCATAGAATACAAATATACACAGGAAAGGTAATTCTCAAATACGTACATGCTTTTACAATATTTATATATAAAAAATTATAGGCATGAACAAGCTGTGAAACCTTTTAAAGTAGTCTTTTGGAAAAGATTTAAGTACGGTAATATACTATCGCAGAGCTTAATAACGCGACTGAGTAAAAACATTTAGAGTCGTCCATTCAGTCAATCACTTAAAAATACACTGCTTGAGATTGTTATAAAAGTAATATTCTCAACATTGCCTCGGATATCTTTAAATTTTCCAGGTATACAGTACTGTATTTTGTAAATTGAATCACTCTCGTACATGAAACGAAATCATCTCCATAAGTCCACCTACATTTATTTCCCCCTCTTGTTGATGTGGATGTTTATTTAACTTTTTTAAGAATTGCGCACAAATGGGTGAAGGGCAAATACATAATGAGTGTTCACCAATTAATTCAGAAAGCTGCTTCCGGCAAAGAGTGACAGAGTCGCCGTTGGCAAAGGCCCTCATGGCGACAAGGAACTCGTCAGGATTGACGGAGAGCATTTGCAAAATTGAGCTGTGAAACACGGAAAACTGGGCTCGGCACTTCCGGTAACTGCAGACCCTGGGTTCAGCAAAAACACCAGGTTTCGGATCCGGCAACGACAGATACCCTCGATCGCATTTCGGACACTTCATCTTCGACTTGATGATATTGAAGTTGACCAGCAATGTGAATACTTTCTCTTCGGATTCCAAATACTCTTTGAAAAAGTCTTGGGGTGACATCGCATCACACCTCTGTCGTGTGAACATAAAAATGTTTTTAGAACAGAGGTTTAAAAACAAAGTATAATTCATGACTAACATGAAAACCATTTTCTGCTATTTATTGTTTTAAAAATAAACCCACAAAGAATTCCCAAGCATGAAGTATTTATAGTCGTAGAATTTTCATAAAACGAATGAAAATGAAATAAAATGTCTGCTCGGTTCATTAAACTTCCCAACACCCTACTTTGTTTTCACTGCAGAAATCAAACAATAAAGTCGAAGTTGCATCAAATATTCTAGATCATTTGTCTCAACGCCTTTAGCTTAACTGAATATTCTGTGCATATGAAATACAATAACTTGAAACATTCTCATGAAACCTAACCAAATCAACAACAACTTTTTTGGGAAACTTTTATTGGTTCTACTGGAACCGTATTTTAAGTAAGCGCAAGCATATGGTTTCGTTTACATTGTAAGCTCGCTGTGGATGCACTACCTTTCATTTAGTGCCTCTACCCCTTTCGGGGAGTGCAAATCAAGAAAGGCTGTTCCATTATGAATAAAATAAGTTTATGCCTTTGAAAAGTAAAAGAATTCAGCTCCTAATTTATTATAGTGAAACCCAGAAAATCATTACGCGTAAAATATGTCGTACCTTGATTTTTGGCGGTGGCGTTTCCCCTCCGCAAAACAACGATAATAGCCAGATAAGAACAAAAAACCCAAATGCCAACATTAATGCAACTTTGATCCAATCGTCGTCTCCGTTTTGCCCATTTCCAAAAACGCTTTTCTTGCCACTCGACGCATCATCATCGTCGAATCGACCACTGCCTCTTTTGACGTTGTCAATTTTCACATTTTCACTTTTTCCGTATTCAACCGAATCGTCTTCGAGCTCGTCCAAAAAAGATTTTTTCGTAGGTTTGTCTGGCGAATCAAGGGTACAATTGGCAGGAATCGGACGCTTTGTGCAGGGATCAATCCTCGGTTTGTCAGGTGACATGTCGTCAACTGTGACAGCCGTCGATTTTCCACATGGATGGCAAAGACTTGAACCCGGACTGAGTTTATTGCTGAAGGTGAAAATGAGAAGATGCGGCCAGAAAGTTTTTCATAATGGATCAACTCTTGATTCTCTTCCTTACTCATGAAGATGATACAATTTTGCTGTCTTGATATTTGATAGAAGACATGAAACATCTACTACAGTATTTCAAAAATATAAAGTGAGACCCTGAGATGCAGACGTAATTGGTGCATCAGGAGTGTCTTCAAGTTGAAATGTCCCTAAGTTGAGTCTCATTTTCCCTTAGTCTTACAGTACTGTATATAATTTTTAATTGGTGTTTTATGTACAAGATACTCACCATAATTCCATGAAAACAAAAGAATGTCCCTATATAAGTTGTGATGGAAAGTAAATCACAAAGATGAAAAGGATAAAAAATGAATACAAGACTCAATCCGCCCAGGAACAGGGCAGGGGATTCTCGGCAGAATCCCAAAAGAGAAACAGAATAATATATTTCAAGAGAAGAGACTTTCAAAATTCAAAAATAATCGCAATCAGAAATTTCGCAACAGAACACAACAGAAGGGTTACGAGACAACTCACATAGCGACAACTCACACAGCGACAACTCACACAGCGACAACTCACACAGTGCGACAATTGGTGATGATCATTGTTTGCTTATCGACGAGAACGCGTTTTTGCAGCCAATTGGCGAATTCCTTCTCGTTCAATGCACAAATTCCGGAAGCTCGATTTCCTCCACGTTCAGACACCAAGAAGCAACCCTTTTCCGAATGAAGTTCTCCGGGTGCGATTCTCAAGACCTTCAATTAGTAATTTTACGCGTCGTAGCATGCAAATAATTATGGTATGATCAAAATTATGCGTAAAAGTTTTCATGCCTGGAAATACAGTATAGATAGAAGAATATTGCTACAACAAATCCATTTACACGTAATAAGGATGTTATCTTACGTCAAATTGTTGACAGTCCATGCGTTATTGTCGGTATATGTTGTCACACAGAAAATTCTAGATAACTCAATCCATTAAATTACAACGAATTTTGCAGGTCTTCGTTGGTTCATTGTAACAAAAATGCGCTTTACTTGTAAACTGCTTCTCATTTCAAACACAGAGGAAAAACTTCAAGGATATATAGTCCAGCTGCGACATTGACATGAAATCGTAACTTCCATAAATTATCATCGCAGTTGGAATTTATGCACACATCATTTGCGTCTTTCAAGAGGATGAGATTTTCATAACAAATGATGTAGATTCAAGTGCATTTGATCAATTATACATCTCATTCATTAGGTGGGTGATATATAGGATTTGAAGATTTATCTGCGAAGGCTTTTCTTTCTATTTCAGGCTTACTTCAGTGGTTTTTTTTTTTACCTCAATAACTCCGTCCATTTTAAATTTTCCGCAACGTTCTCGGTTGTGAGAAACACCGTAATGATCAGCAGGTGCTCTGCAAGTTTTGAGAGCTTCTTCAGCGACCGATTGAAAAACCGAATATAGCTTCACAACATCCCCACAAGGTAACACCTTGCCTAAAAATAATGAATAAAAAATAATTGTTTGGAAAACGAATGATAAATCAAATATTTCCGTTTAAAAGCCTAAGTTTACATTTTTGGACAATCGATGACGCATGAAATTGCCGACTTTTCTTGAAGTGATGACACGAAATTCATGGAATACAAATATATGCAGGAAACGTAATTCTTAAATACGTACATGCTTTTACAATATTTATATATTTTTTAATATCCGTACTTGTTCGACACTTTGGAAAATTTCATCAGAAAACCTTTTCTAAATTCATGCCATTATATGATAGCGTCTCGAATTATTGCGCTGACTCATTTTTGTAAATCTCAGCAGGTTTCAGTCAATCACTTAAAAATACACTGCTTGAGATTGTTATAAAAGTAATATTCTCAACATTGCCTCGGATATCTTTAAATTTTCCAGGTATACAGTACTGTATTTTGTAAATTGAATCACTCTCGTACATGAAACNGGCCCTCATGGCGACAAGGAACTCGTCAGGATTGACGGACAGCATTTGCAAAATTGAGCTGTGAAACACGGAAAACTGGGCTCGGCACTTCCGGTAACTGCAGACCCTGGGTTCAGCAAAAACACCAGGTTTCGGATCCGGCAACGACAGATACCCTCGATCGCATTTCGGACACTTCATCTTCGACTTGATGATATTGAAGTTGACCAGCAATGTGAATACTTTCTCTTCGGATTCCAAATACTCTTTGAAAAAGTCTTGGGGTGACATCGCATCACACCTCTGTCGTGTGAACATAAAAATGTTTTTAGAACAGAGGTTTAAAAACAAAGTATAATTCATGACTAACATGAAAACCATTTTCTGCTATTTATTGTTTTAAAAATAAACCCACAAAGAATTCCCAAGCATGAAGTATTTATAGTCGTAGAATTTTCATAAAACGAATGAAAATGAAATAAAATGTCTGCTCGGTTCATTAAACTTCCCAACACCCTACTTTGTTTTCACTGCAGAAATCAAACAATAAAGTCGAAGTTGCATCAAATATTCTAGATCATTTGTCTCAACGCCTTTAGCTTAACTGAATATTCTGTGCATATGAAATACAATAACTTGAAACATTCTCATGAAACCTAACCAAATCAACAACAACAAAAAACCCTTTGAAAATAACCAAGATGACCTTGGCATAAAATTCATTCGCGTTCGTATACCAAAGCAAATGTAACATTCGAGCGACACCTACGTGATGGAAAGTAAATCACGGAGATGGGGAAAGCAGGAGTCCAAATCAAGAAAATCTGTTTCATTATGAATAAATAGGTTTATGCGTTTGAAAAGTTAATGAATCATTACTCAGCTCCTATTTTATTATTGTGAAAACCAGAAAATTAGTGCCTTTCAAAATATGTCGTACCTTGATTTTTGGCGGTGGCGTTTCCCCTCCGCAAAACAACGATAATAGCCAGATAAGAACAAAAAACCCAAATGCCAACATTAATGCAACTTTGATCCAATGGTCGTCTCCGTTTTGCCCATTTCCAAAAACGGTTTTCTTGCCACTCGATGCATCATCATCGTCGAATCGACCACTGCCTCTTTTGACGTTGTCAATTTTCACATCTTCACTTTTTCCGTATTCAACCGAATCGTCTTCGAGCTCGTCCAAAAAAGATTTTTTCGTAGGTTTGTCTGGAGAATCAAGGGTACAATTGGCAGGAATCGGACGCTTTGTGCAGGGATCAATCCTCGGTTTGTCAGGTGACATGTCGTCAACTGTGACAGCAGTCGATTTTCCACACGGATGGCAAAGACTTGAACCCGGACTGAGTTTATTGCTGAAGGTGAAATTGAGAAGATGCGGCGAGAAAGTTTTTCATGGATCAACTCTTGATTCTCTTGCTCACTGATGATACAATTTTTCTGTCTTGATATTTGATAGAAGACATAAAATATCTACTATACTTCAAAAATATACAGTGAGACCCTGAGATGGGAATGTAATTGGTGCATCAAGAGTGTTCTGATGTCAGAATGTCCCTATATGCGTTGAGTTTAATTTTCCCTTAGACTTCAATGCTTATGTATTTAATTGGTTCTCCTTTTTGTCAAAAATTAGAAATGAGTCATAAAAAATTCAATAAAATTGTTTCCCTCAACTTCAAGTTGTAGAAAACAATAGTGCAGAACAAAACCACATAAAATCTGATTTTTTTGGTATCAAAAGGAGATCAAAAAGCATAGAAAAAGGAGAAGTCTTGCTATAATATGCACAGATGATAGAAAAAACTCTGAAAAAAGAAGCACAAAGTCAGCTTGCTTTTAATTACAAATCAGAGTAAATTTATCATGAACTATGTTTTTAATTTTTGCGAATATAAATAGCTTAATTTCTTCAAAAGTTATCAACTTTTTTTAATATTCCGATTTTTTGGGAAAATTTCAGAAAAGTGTGCATGGCTTGACCAAATGTCTGGATGTTGGTCCTGATTTTTTTGGTTTTCAGGTGCTTGTTCCTAGGTTGAATTGTCCATATATGTTGGGGTATCTCTATTCTGGGGTCTCAATGTAATGTGCCCATAGAGATATTTGAAATCTTCAGTATCCCTATCAAATGGTTACGCTTATTATGCTCACAACAAACTGTTATGCTCAAAACAAACCAACAAAAAATAAGCCCCAATATCTGCCGAAATTCCAATTTTAATTTTCTATGAACGTGCTGGGTGTATTAAAAAGACTAACTTTCAAATTCAATAAGGCACAGATATTCCCTCAATTTTCGTTTATGTTTCTAAAAAAAAATTATTTCTCGTTCAATACAACGCTCTTTTCAATACAATGGCATAACAACTGATCACTTAGAAATTGATATATTATTAAAAGTTTGCAGCATATGAAAATCTGCTGAGCTACGGAAACTAAACGAATCTCAAGTTTTGAGACTTACGAAGTCAAAACACGAGCAAGCAAAATAATATATAAAATTTCCTCTGGTAGGCTTTTTCACGTGGTCAGAATTGTTACATTCAAAAATACGTATTCAAAAATAAATGCGACACGGAAATATATTCGCTTTCAAATTTCCGAGGCAAAAATAAGTTCATACAAAAATTTCTTGGCGGGTTTCAAAAAGGAACACCCAAAAAACAAAAACTACAGCATCGTACGTGGAATTTTCCTTAGCGAATGTCAGGGGCTAATAAGCCTCAGTGACAAAGATTAATGTTTTGGTTCAGTTGAATCGAATTATGAAATGATGTAGTCTCAATCGGCCGTTTGCAGCCTGAGGTAAATACCTCAACTCCTTGA